TCAAGATGTGTTTCCGGAAGAACTACCGCATGGCTTGCCACCTATCCGAGGGATTGAACATCAAATAGATCTTATTCCGAGAGCTCAATTGCCAAATAGACCCGCCTATAGATTCAACCCAACCGAAGCTAAAGAACTAGAGAAGACCTTTGAAGTAGAGTGTGACGCGTCGGGCATCAGGATTGGAGCGGTCCTAACCCAAGGAGGCAAACCCGTGGCCTACTTTAGTGAGAAGTTACATGGCCCTACCCTCAACTATCCGACTTATGATAAGGAGTTATACGCTTTGGTCCGAGCTATGGAGACTTGGCAACATTATCTACTACCGAGGGAATTTGTGATCCATACGGACCATGAGACCTTGAAACATCTTAGAGGCCAAACCAACTTGAAGAAGAGACATGCGAAGTGGCTAGAGTTTATAGAGGCTTTCCCATACGTTATCAATTACAAGAAGGGCAAAGAAAATGTTGTAGCCGACGCGCTATCAAGAAGACACGCGTTGATCACAACCATGGAAGCAAGGGTTTTGGGTTTTGAAGGGATCAAGGAAGTTTACAAAGAAGATCCGGAGTTTGGGGAGAGTTATAGGGATCACGGCAAAGGAATTCACTCACGGTTCTACATCCAAGACGGGTTTCTCTTTCGGGACAAAAGGCTTTGCATACCCGCCGGATCTATTAGGACCCTACTAATGCAAGAGTCACATGGAGGAGGCCTAACCGGGCATTTTGGGGTTACTAAGACTTTGGAAGTCTTAAAGGAACATTTCTATTGGCCTAAGATGAAGCGGATGGTCGAGAAGTTCGTAGGCCGTTGCATCACTTGCCGTACCGCCAAGGCCACCCCACGGCCACATGGCCTCTACAAGCCCCTACCGATTCCGAATGCACCATGGGTCGATTTATCTATGGATTTCTTGCTTGGATTGCCTATCCAATACCGCAAAGACTCCATCTTCTTCGTAGTAGACCGATTTTCCAAAATTGCTCATTTTATACCTTGCAATAAGACATCGGACGCCACGGCCTTAGCCAATTTGTTCTTTCGGGAAGTTGTGAGGCTCCATGGAATACCCTGTAGCATCGTGTTGGACCGAGACCCCAAGTTCCTTGGTCACTTTTGGAGGACTTTATGGAGAAAGATGGGAACTAAGCTACTATACTCAACCGCGTGTCATCCTCAAACGGATGGTCAAACTGAGGTCGTCAACCGAACTTTAGGCGCCTTGATCCGGACCACCGTGGCAAGCAATCCGGGCACTTGGTTAGAGCTACTTCCCTTTATGGAGTTCGCATACAATCAGTCCGTGCATTCGACAACGAAGAAGTCTCCATTTGAAGTGGCCTACGGATTCAAACCTTTAACCCCCGCGAGTTTGCTACCCTTACCACCCAATGAGATAGAATGTCAAGACGGATTAGCCAAGGCCGAGCTGATCAAGAAGTTACACACCGAAGTCCGGGAAAATCTAGAAAGAAGAACCGAGCAATACGCGCGAAAAGCCAACCAACACCGCAAGGCCATGATTTTCAAGCCGGGAGATTGGGTTTGGTTACACTTAAGACCGGAGCGGTTCCCACAACGTAGAAAGGACAAGCTTAGCCCAAGAGGAGATGGCCCTTTCCAAGTCATCGAGCGGATCAATGACAACGCCTACCGCTTGGAGCTACCCGGTACGTATAACACGTCTACTTCCTTCAATGTTTCTGATTTGGTTCCTTTTGATGTAGGGAATGATGAAGGAGTTCTGAGGTCAGAACCTTCCCAAAGGGGAGGGGATAATGAGACCCAACCTACCGGACAGCATACGGACAACGATCCGGACGAGGGCCGGGACGAGGGACGGGACATGGACCAACCCGGAGCAACCCACGGGACACTACCGGCGACCAAGGTACCTCAAATCCTTCCGGGAGCTGTCACAAGGTCAAGGGGAGCTGCACGCAATCTCAGGATCAAGTGCAATGCCTTCGCGGAAGAGTTCATCCAAACACACGACCCACGGCCATACGGCCCCATTGGACCCGACCATCCGGACGATCATGAGCTTGTCCGGACCGTCTTCACCATCACTAGGTGAAGGCATCAAAGTCACTAGCTGGACGTGGTACTCTTTTTCCCTACTTGGGTTTATCCCACGTGGTTTACCAAGAGGGTTTTAACGAGGCCAACGTACACTAGCGCATGACCACGCATCTCCGCATGACGTGGCCATCTCTCCTCCCTTTCGTAATAAAGCCGTTAGGCTCTTCTTGTCTTATGGTTTGTATTTTGACACGTCTATCCTTGTTGACCCGCGCTTTGACTGTTTGCTTTAGGGTTTTATGAGTCTCCCTTGTAAACGCCTATATAAAGGCCCTCTAAGTCACTTGTAAGGGTTAGCTTCTTTTGAAATAAAAATCAGTCCTTTCTTTTTTCTCATTTGTTGCGAAAACATTGAGAGCTCCTTAGAGTCTTTGAATCGGATTCAAAGCCTCTAAGTGTAACCGTATCACGAGCCCACCATCCCTCGTGTGTCATTACCTCGTTCCACCTTCACACCCCTCTTCTCCAAGTCACCACCGGTTCGAGATACTCACCGGTTGTCGCTACCCACCCTCGCAAATCATCCCTTTGGAGTCTAGGCGATTCGAGCTACTCATCGTCAACCTCCCTCGCCGTCCCGCAACCGTCCATGACCGAAGGCCCTGTCCGTACCGATCGCCGACCGTACCATCGTCCCGAAGGCTATTTCCGTGACCGTGTGACACATCACTGGTGGTAGCTTCTTGATCAAGCAATTCGTTTTGAAGACATTGTAGATCGACGTCCCTTCCAACTCAATCTCTTGACAGATGCGTTGACGAGCCTCCACATGTTCCATAATTTGTTTGGAGTCCACCATATTGAATTTCATAAACTTCACATTTGAGAATCTTTGTAGCCCAAACTCATCAGTCTTGTACTTTTTCTCCAAAGCCAACCACAATGCTTTTGAAGACTTGTACTTGCTGTAGAAGTCAAACAGATCGTTGACCAAGCGGTTCAGAATCTGACCTTCGCAACAATAGTCACCTTGAGCCCAGTTATCCACACTTCCAACCGCATACACATTTGTGGTACCTTTCGGAAGTGTTGGTGGATCCTCTATGAGGTACCTTTCCATGTTCGTGCTGGCCAAATAGTAGCGCATCTTGTCTTGCCACGTTTTGAACCAAGGTTTACCATCAAACTGGTCTAGCATCATCCCTTGGGAAGCAGAAGGAGGTATGGCAGTGTGGGTTGACCCATTACCAAAATGATATGTATCTTTTCAAGTTCTTTTGCAAGGCGCAAACCTAACTCATCAAGAGTCTCAAGAACTTTTCAACGACCTCGTTGTTGGTGTTGATCCAAGTATTCTGTTCACAAATAAAAGATTAGATTAGTATATTAACCAAAAAATTCAGGTAACTAAATTACACCAAATTAGTTTTGCAAACTCGCTTAAGAAGCGTTCGCAGAAACTTGTTTCGCGTTTCACAAACCCACTCAAGTATGAGTGTTCGTGGAAACTAGAGATGTTTATTTAAGAAACTGTCCACAACAATCGCTAAGTAGCATTTGCGAAGCAGTTAGAACGAGGAGAAAGAAAGAAGTAAAAGTTTTTTCTATAAACTTTCTGCGTAAACACTCAAAGATGATTTCAGAAACAATTTTTAGAAGATTTTTAAATCGTTTTTAAAAAATTCGAAAAATTCTCAATCCGTCTAGATTGATAATCTTAATGCGGATTTATTGAATTAAGATTGTAGGAGCGCAAAAACCTAATTGAGAAAAGATGTGAATTTTATTTAGATAACAATAATAACAGAATTACAACAAGTGTATTTAAAGACAGAAAGTAAATCACGGAGGCAATATATGGTATCTTTTTCCATAATTCAATAAATTGGTTGTAAGTGCATTCGGACAATCATGATTTATGAATTCCAGGATACAACCGATCACAAACTAATACACGAGCACACGAGTAATAGACTCAAGCGAACTTGATCTACGATATACTCTCGAACTTACTTTTAAGAAGCAAGAGAGATGCGAGATTTTAAAACTAAGAGTGCTTTCTTTTTGAGAGCTTGAGAAATAATACGAGGCTGGATCTCTTTATATAGTAGAAGAAGGTAGGCCTTGACAGAATATTCTCAGAGTATTCGCCAAGTTACTTGGAGTGAACCCCAAGTTACTTGGAGAAACTCCAAGTTGTTGCCAAAAAATGGAATATTTTCATAAGATTCGACTCTCAAAATTAGGCCAAAAAATACTCGGCAAACCCACAAGCGCGACGGCCCACAAAAGACGACCCGACAACCTGCGCTTGTGCTTAGCCCGGTTCAGTTTGGTTCAATCCAAATTGTTCACTTTACACCCTTATTTCTCATTCAAATCAACTCCGTTTTTGACGTATGTGTATACCATCTTGTAGTACTCGCTACCAGCTTTCCATTGTACTATCGACCTGACAAATCCGTTCAGCTATTTGGCCAAAATTTGGTCAGAAAATCGCTGGAAAAATACTTTGACAAAAAAGCTCCAACAATAAGCATTATTGAGAAGCTTCTCATTCCAAAGCGTTGGAGTGTCTCTGCTTTCAACTTGATCAACCCGTGACTTGTAAACTTAAAAATAACACATTAAGAACAAATTCAATTTGATTCTGTAGATCAATGACCTTGCCAAGTATAGCAAGTTAGATCAAAACGAGTTGTATGTTCTAGGAAATAAATTTTCTAGAACTAAAACCATTATAATCAAAAAGCAGTTTAAATTTAATTTCAAAACAAAAAAAAATATCTGTTCGGTTTTACATTTTTAAACCAAACTAAACCAAATCAAAAGCTTTCTTAATATGCTAACAAAACCGTTTTTAACCAAAACAGTGTTGTACTGGGCCGAGGCTTATCGGAAAGCCTGAAGCAGCCACCATAAAATAAAATAAGAGCAAAGACCTAAAATCAAGATAAGCAAAAACTCTGATTCTCATTATTTTCTTTGAGCGCCTCCCTAAAACTTAATACAATACGAACTTTGACTTTTGATTACTGTACTGATAGTTGTAGTTTGAATCTGGTCTTATAGATTTTGATTACTGCAACTTCAATCACAACCTGTCTAAGCTTTGAATCGTTTTTAGGGTTGCCATGAGAAATCTTGAGCAGCAAGAAACACAATCTCCGAACTCGGGAATATACATCCCAATCGATCTCCTCATGGATATATTTTCTCGAGTTCCGGCGACCACTATAGCAAGGTTTCATTGTGTATCTAAATTATGGGGATCCATACTTTGCCGTCAAGATTTTACCGAGTTGTTCTTGAATATGTCTTTGACTCGTCCACGCCTGCTCTTATTCACCTTCCAAGCTGACGACAATGGCAATATATTCTTCTTCTCTTCACCTCTGCCTCAAAATCCAGATGAGAACACGTCTCTTGTACCAACCCGTTATCATGTTCACCATAAGAATTCTCCTAGAGAGTTTTCGTCTGAATTTGGTTCTCCTCTTCGTGGATTCATTTGTTGCCGTGATAAGGGAAGTCTAGATACTATGGTTATTTATAACCCGGTCACAGGAGAGTCCTTACCCTTACCCAAAGTGGAATTGAAGAGTGTTAATACTGTGACAAGACCTTATTTAGGGTATGATCCGATTGACAAACAGTTAAAAGTATTGTGCATCAAGTTCGGTGGAATCCCGGATATTTTTGTTGATCATCAAGTGTTGACATTGAATAATGGAAAACATTTATGGAGAACAATCCAATGCAAACCCCATTATCCTAAATCCAATGGAATATGCATAGATGGTGTTTTGTATTATACAGCTCGGGTCTATAGGACGATACGCGGGATTCTATAATAGTTTGCTTCAATGTTAAGTCTGAGAAGTTTAGTTTTATTGACATAGATGGATGCATGTTGATGACTCATTCTTGTACTTTGATCAACTACAAGGGTAAATTAGGTGCACTTCAGTTTACATTTTTGTGTCAAAGACAACTTGAGTTTTGGATTCTAGAAGATGCTGAGAAATATATATGGTCCAAAGATATCTACATATTGCCTTCTTTGTGGGACAACATAGTTCAACGTGCCGAGTTATTCATTGTTGGAATGACTGGTAGAGGTGAAGTTGTGTTGTCACAGTACTGTCTAGTAGAACCATGTTACATTTATTACTTCAACCTTGAGAGCTGGAGTTTCACAAGAGTTCAAATACAAGGTCTTGAAGTGTTTAAGCGTACGAGAGTTTACACCTCTCTAGACTATGCTGAGAATTTGAAACTTATGTAAGTGTTCAAATCTTGTTTTCAAGCTTTGTCTAGTTTGGATAAAAGAACAAAAAAAAAGTCTCAAATCACTTGGGAAACAAGAAGTTACCCTCATGTTTTGGTATGTTCATGAATTGTTTTTATATTTTGGTAATTTATCTTTCATGACTTTGCTTTAGTTAACAAAATGGAACAATAATTGTGAGAATTATGAATTTTGCCTCTTCAAATTCTTACATATTTTTGGATTCAACCATCAAAATCAAATATTTTGAGAGCCTATTTTTCTTGGCTTTTACTCTTTCATTATTTATTTTTCTAGGTTAGCTTAACAAAAACAACAAGCAAACAAAACCTTAGGATGGGAGCTAAGTCATTAGAAACTTAGCAGCAACCTACTATTCTCAATTCTCACTACAAATAAGCCACATGAATCTCCATCTTTCTCACACCAGACCCACCTCAAGAAATAAATCATCAGCCTCACACTTCATACACAATCAATGGCCTCCACGGATTCATCAGTTTACCGTCCCACACCAACTCCAGACCATGACACTACTGTTGTAGTAGTTGTGTTTGTCTCTTTGGGTTGTGTCATGTTCTTGGCGTTTCTAGCTTTTGTTATCTGGTTCTTGATCAAGAAGAGATCCAGGAAGCACCGTGAGAAATCTGAGGCGGTTCGTGTGGATGAGCACTTTAAGATGAAGGAAGCTATAGTCGAAGGACCTAATGGACAAAAGTCTGTGATGTTATCAGTTGAGGATGATGTTAAGATCGAAGACGCGATCAAGAGAGATGAGAAAGATCTGAAGAAAGATGGTGGAGTTGGATCATCAGTCGTTACCCGTTCGTGAATGAGCTTTCTTCATTCATAATGTTGCCAATCTATTTATTTGTATTATAATTGTGTTTGTGTGAATCATTTGTTTGGTGAAATAAAAAAGCATATGAAATCTTATTATATAAAGTATGGTTTTTCAAAGGAATCACTAAAAAAAAGTATGGTTTTCAAAGTTAGTAACTCATAGGATTGTGCCACGTGTCAAGTTTATCGATCAGATGTTGACATGTTTCCCTTAAAAAAATAAAATAAAAAAAAAAACTAAAAAAAGGAAACAAAATTTACGTATACTAATTTAAATGTTTATACCTAAAAAAATTTAAATTTTATTTTTATTAACCAAAAAGAAAATTAAGGAATTTGTTTTACATGTGTTATTGGTCAATTAAATTTAGTATGTATTAACTTTTTAAAAAATTATTTAGTATATAAAAATATATGTTAAACAATGTTTGTTTCCAAAATATTTTTGTGGATTTCTGTTTTTTATTAATTATTTAATATTAACTAAGATATAGATTTAATCTGATATAAATATTATTTTGATATGAAATTAGTATCACTTAAGATGAAGTGTGTAGATTAAAAATCGAATATATTATGATGAAATAGATAGTTGAATTGTACTGCAAAATTGAATGTGTAAGATGGAAATTTATTTTTTCTATCTAAATACTAAATCAAATATAAATAAAGAGTGTGGGTTACTATTTAGAATTAAAATATTATCAATAAAATTGAGTGTGTAGAATTAAAATGTATAATACAATAGAACTGGCCGTCAAAAAAAAAATACAATAGAACTGCAAAGATTGTCATAACGGATAATCGGATTCTTGTGGAGAAACCTGGTGGATCTGACATCTGGCCGTTCTAAAATATGGGCTAGGAGTACTATCATAGTGATTAGGATCTAGAAAATAATAAGTATGTGATTAATACTTGAATTTGGAAGAAAATGTAGGAATGAGAGAGGAGAGTGAATAGAATCAAGAAGAGAATAAGTTGGTGACTCAGGCCCGGTCGATGGCTCAGAGCTTTCATTATATTTATAAAAAAACAAACATAGAAAAAGTCCATATTTATTTCAAAAAATTAAATATAATCCAAAATTTAAATATAAAAATCCAAAATTCAAAAAAATATATATATATCTGAATAAGCCAGTAATATATTAAAATTATTTTAGTTTTTCTAATAACACCAGAAAATTAACTAAAAATAGTAAAAAATATTATTTTCATGATAAAAGGTTCAAAAACAAAAATCACGAAGGTTCTCTCTTTTCTTGGACCGGGGCGGGGCAAATATTGTATCTATAATTATCAACATGCATAATTTATATTTATAATTCAAATATTATCAAAAATTATATTTTTTTCTCACATCCGCCTAAATAGCCTTATCTAGTATTTATATAAATTCTTTGGACAAAGATGGTTCTTCAAACTTGGGTTGGTGATGGTTTTTTTTTTTTTTGTTCTAGGAGCAAACGTGCAATTTTGTGGATTTGAGAGAACCAAAAAAACTTGTATCTCTAAGGATTAAGGAAGTTAGAAACTTTCCCGTTTTTTGTGAAACTTTCTAATTTTAACAGAATATTACTATAGTTCTGAAACCCTATCAAATAATTTTATAGTATATTGTAAATTTAGTTTTCCTTTTCGTTAGTATTTGGAAAGCTAAAACTCATGCTTCTCTTAGACTAACAACATTTACTTATTTTCTTGTGTTGGTAATTGTAATTTTTTTTTTGTAGGAGTTTTCCTTTACTTGGTTATTTTATTTTTTAATCATGAACACGGATTTTCTTAATGAAGCTTAAAGTATTCATGAAACAAAAACGAATATAATGAAACACATAATATTATTATCATAAACACAAATGATCTTGAAGCTTTATGTTTTAGCTAAAAATCATAGTTTTTTTAGACTAATAACATTAAGTTTTATTTTCCCACGGTGACAATTGTAAATTTCACTTCTAATTGTTACGTAAATTTTCCATTAAAATTTACAGTAACTATTATTTTTTATTTCAAAGTAGAAAATAATAAAAAAAATAGTAATATTATACTTTTCTTGGACTAACAACATTAAGTTATTTTTCTGTGTTGGTAATTGTAAATTTTCCTTCTATTTTTTTTCTGTTAATTTTTCCATTAAAATTTACTGTGATTATTACATGTTATTTTAAAATAGCAATAAATAGAAAATAGAAAAATAGTATTTTTAAATAATAGTTTATTAGCGGTTTAAGAGGTACCTTTATTTTTTTTTATTTTTTAAGTTTCTTGAATAAGAGGCAGCATCATTTACATTTCGATAATTGGCAATTACAGATTAATTTGAAGCTTTGTTGCCATGATTTTAAATCATGAATAATGAAAAAAATAAGAATTTGTTATTCATAACTTATACAAATTATACTAAATAATAAAATAGTATCTAGCCAGATAGTTGATGTTTATGAAGGTCTATTGAAAGGAGTGAGTTACTCTGTTATGCTTTTCAGGGTTTCTCGTAATGTAGGAGTTGTGAAGAGTACTGATCCCCTTTACAAAATAACATTCATTGATTCAACTATTGTTACGAACACCAATGTTGTCTTGCAATCCCCGATTCATCGTCTTATTCCTTTCTCCTCTGTATAAAAAAGCACTATTTCAAAAAAAAATACTAGCGTGAAAAAGCTCTCAGGCCCTCTTCCCAAGATAACTAAAAGAAGTAACCTGAGTTTGAAAAAACAGATCTCAGCTACTTTTTAGTGCTAAATAAAGAAATTTTTCACTTTTCCGGTGACTTCTTCTTGCCTTTTTGGCTCTACCGGTCTTCTCCATCATGCAAAAGGCATGAGGGAACTGTCTACTACCTCTACCAAGCATCTAGAGGATCAAACTTCAGCTCCTGCTCTACCTTTTGGCTATGTTCCTCCCCAAGCCCCTTTGACAAGAAGCTCCAACAACCGTAGTCCCTCAATCTATGGTATGGAAACTCCCTCTGTCCTCCCTCTCTTGTACTAACTTGTTTTACTTGAACCCTCTTGGAACCGTTTCTTAGTTTCTGTGGTTAAATTTTGAGGATTCCCTCTCACTAAAACCACAGATCTATTTGTAAAACATATGCTAGATTTCTCTCACTTTCAGTGAAGAACCCTCTCGAAAACTTTACTGAAGCTCCAGCCCCTGCAACCCAAGACTCTTCTCAGCTCACTATGACGCCCAGATACTCTTACTCAAGCAAAGGAAAAGGTATCGCCAAAGAAGATTCTTCTCCCTCAAGAGACCACAAACATCACTACTCTCAAAAAGCACAAGAGACTTCTAGAGACCAACCTTTCTCCTCTAGGGACCGCAACTCCTCCTATGGAACAAGAAGGATTGAGTCAACGAGCCACTATGCTCCCCCTCCTTGCAAAAGAATAAGAGCCCCACCTCTGGACAACTCAGATCTCATCAAGGAAAACTCTCTAACGCTCCTTGGTCGGCTTACAAATCCTTCTGTCCAACGATTATGGTCTCTTATTGATAATAGGTTTTTAAGATCAATTAATCCTAAAGCACTATCGTGTCGTTGTAGTACTGAAGGTTGTCAATCCATTTTAGGTGTGATGCAAACAGATGAGATGTGATCAGAAGTCACTAAGTCAAGCCAAGCAATTACAGGTTTTGGTGTTTCTGACAGTTCTAAGTGATCATGCAGAAAATGGAAAAATTGCAGAATTACAGAAATCACTCGACCACAACTGGCTGATGCCAGGAGCAGGATGTGGTCGAGTAACAGGCAAAAAATGTAACAAAATCACTCTACCACACAGTCTGTTGCCAGACACTGGATGTGGTCGAGTGGATGAATGAAAACAGGTAAGAAATGTGACAGCAGGCAATGACAGCAATAAATCATAAGCAATGCGAACAGAGAAATCAAATAGACGAGAAATTCCTAAGGATGAGGTAATCGAATTGAGTGGTTTCCTTAGCCTATTCAGATGGTTAACAAAGCGCAATCAAGCTATCCCTAGACAACAGGTTCAACAACAGATTAATTAACTCCCATGACAGAAACCCTCAAGCAAAGCTAGCCCAGACTAATTCCCATTAACGGAATCTAACTATGCAGGCAATACGATTCAACGATTCAACCTATTACAGTCAATAAACGCTCTAAACGGCCAATCCCTTGGGATAAAGACGCATATCTCTGGAACTAGTGGATCAAGCATTCCATCGAACATCTTCTGGGTGCGGGAATGCTTTAGAT